GCAATTCCAAAGCTTCACGTGAACTCGTGGTGACTGTGAACTGTGGGTGAACTCGCAGCTACTACTCAAAATGCTGGGGGAGAAACGAACMGGTTTTTTCGACCTATGATTAATATAGTTTTACAGTTAATGTGTTACTCAGGTGAACAAAATAAGGACATGGCAAATTCAAGTAAAAAGAGCGCAACATGAAGGAGATCTTGTCTATACTAAACTGTCTTTTCAGAGAGAACTCCGTTCGACGTTTCAAATCCAGTCTGAGAAATATCATTAGCGGTGTTAATGCAGACAGCTCTGTAAACGTCGACACAGCAAAAGGCACAGGGGAGAAGATCCTGTCGTCGATGAATGGAAAATTTGCCTACGACTACACGTTTTATAAGCGTGACGCCAATCAGTAACTCTAGCAACAAGATTTAATAGCGGTCAAGATTGACAGTGAGCATGTCAAGATTGATCCACAGTTCCTTTTTCAAGGCATTATTCTCGCATGCAAAGACTCACGTGAACTGGAAGCCCTGTTTCGATACGAACTATGCAGTTATCTCCTGCCCTGTTTAATTCATCGTTAATGATGAATCAACCACAGAGAYCCCCTCTTGCTGATGCCATTCGGGAAAACCTATACAAGCTGATGCGCAAAACGAACCACCGAGGGGAGCTCTATTACACCGGGTACCGTGGCCACAACCTACAGAGAACTATGCCTTCTTTATTGTAAATACGTCTGTCTGCTGCATAAATACGATTTTCAAGAAAGCGACAACGGGAAACCATGGTATCATCAAAAACTACCATCTTCAGTACTAGAAAACCACAAAGCAACTAAGATGATTTGGGACGAACCATTTCACCTAGAGAAACGACCTGAGAATCGAGCAAACAGAATCGATATGGCCGTGCTGGATAAAGAAACAAACACATGGACATTATTTGAACGAACAGTAAGCCAAGTTGGAGAAAAGAAAAGACAGCTATAAGCAGGATAAGTCAATAAGTTGATAAGTACACAAGGCTGCTAGCTGGAATCAAAGACATCTACAAAAGCGCTACCGTAAAGCAAATCAATGTCGTATTTGACGTCCTTGGGGGATATCATGAGAAACTAAAAGACGAGCTAGAGACAGTTACTCAGAACGACAGAGAAACGTCGTTTCTAATACCAGAGGTGCCAGAAATGGATCGCCAGTCTGAACGTGGACATTGTTAAGACATTTTATAATTACACAACCTAAGAAAGAATTATAAGGCAATAACGCTACACTGTAACAAAGCCTAGGCTCGTCCCGCTAGTTATTTTGAATTGAAATGCTAGAGAGAGAAAAATAAAGATGCCGTAATAATGATGATGATGAGGAGGAGGATGATAATAACAAAAGAGACAAGAGAGGTCAACATGGGGCAAGTCTATACCTGAGTTAACCAATCGAGTATTAAAGCTAGCAGGAGGCGAACTCAAGTCTGAAAGGAAGCATCGAACCAAAACTGAGCTTAAATGCAAAGGCATATAGTCAGGCATATAGCTGACAATTGTCGACAAGAAGTCCAAAGATTATAGCCTTGAAACAGTTATGCCAAGTATTCTATCCAAGCCAGAAACGATAYAAGGCCACAAAAACTCAGCACAAACTAATCAAGACCAAGGCCGTGTTTATATAGCCTCCTCCGCATGCATCTCTCTCGTCTCTTCTCTCCTTTTCGATAGGAATCCCAATTCGCGACACAGGAATCCCAATTCAACAAAAAAGAAAAAGACGAAAGACGCCTGCGGAGGAGGCTAGTGTTYGTACACCTATCTCCGATATCTGCAATGAGCGATCTGAGACTAAACCAAATTTTTGTGCTTTAGGGTTTTCGGCAGCTAAAATATGAAAAATCACATTTCTAACTCAAAGTTCATTCATATTCTAATCGAAATCGAAATTCATTGTTCGGCTGTGAATATATTACATTTTAAAAATAGGTGTATACCGAGGCCGTAGGTTAACTCGGTTCAAACGTTTTTAAACTAATAAGAATACTGGATTCAATTGTGACCTTGAGTGAGTCTTGACATGATAATCATTTTAATTGTGGAAAACCTACAGACATACATTTATCATATTGAGTTTCATGATATCATGGCTCTCGGCCAATTAGAAATGAGAAAGTGATTAAAATGTATGATAATTAATATTGTTTTTATTGTGGCTTTATTTTTTCCCAGCACTTAGGGTAGATCAATTCTTTATGGGCATGAAGTGCAGAATCCTATTGCCAACTGAATTTTCACCATGGAAATAATTTAATTTACAGTTAATCCACGTCACGCGTGACCAGTATAATGTGCAAGGCATCAAAACATGGCTTAACCACAGACAGCCCAAGCAATGTTCTTGTGTACTTTTTACTGTAAATGCCATGTGGTCAATCTGCTAAGATACAAATGTAAGGTTTGTTTTTAATAAATTTTGACAAAACTTTGATGTTTAATGTGTTTTACTTAGTGACAGTTTTAGTTATAAACGGTTCGAGCTAGATCCGAGGTTTGTTTTGTGTTTCAGTTTCTTGAAAAGTTCGAAACTGCTCTCTTACTGCACTAAGGTGGCTTACTACTTTGGTAAACAATAAACAGAAAATTGAAAATTGAGACTTTCTTAACCTGAAATGTAATGCTGAAATCGAAAATGCAAAGAAAAAGGGGGTGTCGCGACCTTGTTTTTGAGATAATTACTCATCCCGGGGGGGCTATTCCCCTATATTTGCTATACGGGTATGTACCGCCCTATAGGGTATGGTTTTTGGGCTTTTGGGTCTGGGGTAGGGTATCATTTTTTGACATTTTGTGTGGGATAGGGTATCATTTTTGTCTGGGATAGAGTTAAGACTTGGTCGTCTTAGCCTGGGATAGGGTAACAATGAAAACGTTAGTAAATATTGATTGGAATCTATTGAATATAAGCCGTCTTTTAGTCTGGGATAGGGTGTACAATTCTTAGTTATAGTCTGGGGTAGGGTATGTAAAATCAAAATCTTAGGTCTGGGATAGGGTCAGGGTTTTGAGGTCCTGGCGGCACACCCCTACCCAAGTTGGGGTGGTAGTACCCCCC